TCCTGGAAGTGCTCGCCGTCGACGCCGGTACTCCAGCTTGGCGAGAGGAGTACGCGGCATCGACGGGGGAGCCTCCCTGCCGCGTCTGGACCCGCGGTAAGTTCGGACTAAGGTACTTCGAATTCAGCTACGTTATTAACGTAGCTGAATTTGCATACCTTAGTCCGAAGTGGGGGGTTAGTGGGGACCAGGCCAAAGCTTTAATGTCTGAGCCTCCTTATACAGTGTTTTATAAAGACAAGGTACAATTGCGGCCACACCTGGCCTTTGTCCCTAAGGTTGTTTCACCATTTCACGCAAATCAGGACATCTTTTTACCAGCATTCTTCCCGAAGCCACATACTAATGACCAAGAATGCAGGCTCCATTCCCTAAATGTTAGACGGGCGCTGGCTTTTTATATTGAGTGGACAAAGCCATTCAAGAAGTCGACACAACTCTTCATTGCCATTGCTGAGAAAATGAAAGGACTGCCGGTCTCATCCCAACAAATCTCTTTTTGGATTACGGCCTGTATCAACACGTGCTACGACCTTGCAAAGATACCAGCCCCAACATTGATGGTGCACTCCATGAGAATGCAAGCTTCATCTGCAGCATTTCTGGCACAGGTCCCCATTCAGGATGTCTTCAGGGAGGCGACATGGTTGTCTCTTCATACCTTTATGTCACACTACACCATCATGCAGCAGGCTAGAGACAATGCTGCATTTGGTAGAGCTGTGCTACAGTCTGCAACTCGGTGAACTCCGACCCCTCCTCCGGGGGATTGCTTGGGAGTCACCTACTTGGAATTGACATGAGCAATCACTCAAAGAAAAATGGTTCCCTATCTTTCGTAACTGTTGTTTTGACATGTGTTGCTCATCTCTGTTCTAAGACCCATCTGCCTCCCCTATGTCGGAGTATCTGGCAAGAAGGAACTGAAGAGGTGATGGGTTGGCAAGGACATATGTACCCAGCCATGAAGGCGCCACTGCAGGGGGCTCGACAGCTGACCCGACGGGTACCGCTAGGGAAAAACCTTCCCATGATCATGCATGTGGTGCGCACACCTACTTGGAATGGACATAAGCAACACATCTCGAATAACAAGTTACGAAAGGTAAGGAACCATTTTTTATAAGGTTTGATCAGGCTGGGATTTCAGGGTTTATATCTGCATTGTTGTTGCCCATTAATAGTTACGTTTGACATGCTAGTTATTCCCTGCTATCTTTTGTTTCAAACGTAATTTCAGAAGTATCTTATACTGCTAATGAAAGATGCTGCTTTGCCATCAGACCTCATAGACCTTTTATCCAGTTAGAACTCAAGACATTTTATAAATGTCTGATGTGCCTTATTAAAACAAATTTTGTTTTCAGTTTAATGGGTGTACAGCAGATAGGTTACAGATCCGATACTCTGTGGAAACTAGTAGCTTTTAATCTAGTGCCAAGGGGAGTATAGTTATACTGTCGGATAACCTTTTCTATTTAATTCACAAACTGTAGCTCGGTGTTCTTTCAGATAACTGCATTCTTCTCTTCTTACCTAGGGCATCCAGTCCTTGTAGGTGTAATTTTTATGTTCATAATTGATGTAAACTGATCTTTGACTTTAGGGTCACACTAGGGCGTTTTAGAAAAGACTTTGTAAGGCTGCTACCCCTTTTCAGCTGTTTTTGTGATAGCTTTTGTGAGACTAAGTAGAGACTTCCAGTTCTATTTGCCACTATGCCAATTAAACCTTTGACAGTTGTTTAAAAATGTCATGTCACAGGTTTAATTGACTCAGTGGTGGTAATTCTGAAAGATCTTGGAATCTTGTCCACAGAAGCCAGTGGTAGCACTCAGTAGGAATTTGTTCCTAAAATTCCCAAGTGTAGATTGAGTTCTAGGGCACATCAACATGTGAAGTGTTAGAGATTTTAGGGACTAATAGCTCCAATGGCATAAAAGTTAGAGCGATCTCTGCTGTATTCACAAAAGATACTGAAAAATTAACCTTTTGGTTGTTGCAGTGCAACTTAAAAATATAGATTTGTTTTGTTACTTAACTGTACTCAAAAATAAAACATGTAAAACTTTAGTGCCTACAAGTCCACTCAGTCCTACTTCTTGTTCAGCCAATCGCTAAGACAGACAAGTTTGTTTCCATTTACGGGGTCCTACCTCTAATTTCCGCCCCCCCCCCCTTTCCCCACATAATGCACTTTCACAATAAAGAGATTGCATTACAGTACTTGTATGAGGTAAACTGAAAAAAAATTACTATTTCTTTTGTTTATCTTTATTACAGTGCAAATATTTGTAATAAAAATAAAGTGAATACTTTACACTTTGTAGTCTGTGTTGTAATTGAAATAAATATATTTGAAAATGTAGAAAAATATCCAAAAATATTTATAATGAATTTAAATTATTGTTTAACAGTGCGATTTTTTTTATCACAATTTTTTTTAATCATTTGACGCCCTAGTTTTTCATCCTTTGATGTTTGGATGAGAAGTTTTCATCATTTTAGTATGAAGTGGTTGTTAATGTACTGTACCATCTTTATTTGTGTTGGGACTTTTTATTTTGGAATCTTGCACTAATTGGCCTTTATCAGTTGTATAAATGGATTTCACAGTAGTTGATCAAAATGTCTATGGTTTGAATGTTGTCATAGTTCAATATACTTGATTAGATGGTACAATTAAGCATAAGGTTAAATGTGAAGATGGTGTTACTGTAACTTGGAGAGCTCTTGGACAAAAGGAAGTTCTATATTTCTGTAAATTGTATTTGGGGATATAGTAAAAGTACAGAAGCCTGTGGAAGTAGCAATACTTCTGTTAACATACAAAGAGAAGTACTGAACTTTAGTTCTGAAACCTCTCTAGGTACTGTATTCTGCTGGTTTGTGAACTTCAGTTTCCTTACATTAAATTTGAAGTTGGCCTGGTGGAAGAGAGCAGAAATGTAATATTTTGTCAGACAAGATTGTGGCATTGCACACTGTTTTTTCCCTTATTCACAGGGAAGCCCTAATATCCTTGATTTCCTTCAGAAGGAGCAGCTTATATGCTGTCAATGGAGCAGTGACCAAGAAAAGTCTGAAGCAAATGGATTTTAAATGTATAAGCAGACACTTTAAGATCTTGTCTTTACAACTGAAATTCTCTTAATATAGATCTGAGACCAATTATTAGACTTGCAGTAATACTGCACTGTGAAAAATTAAGTTTGAGACTCATACTTGGTTATCTGGCTGCTTCTGGGAATATATGAATGAGTGAGTGCATGGCAGTGCTTCCTTCATGCGTTTTGGGATGTCCCTGGTGAAGGAGAGGCTGCTAATTGATAATGGTACTAAAATGGCTCCCATTGGTGTCATTACACAGACCACAGCAAATGTTTACTTTAGCTACAGTTTTTAGCGACGAAAGACATAGGTTCGGTGAACAACTTATATTTCATTTGTCACCCATAGGCTAAAATGTTCTTGTGTACTTTTGTTTCATTTTCCAGTTTGTACAGCCCCATTTGCACAACTTTATGTATTTGATCATTAGATGTTTACATCATAATGCTTATTTTATTTATTTGAATTACAAGTTAAACCAAGAAAGCCCAACAATGACTTCTGGTGTGTTAAAAGGTTTTGAAAAGATCAGCATGGAATATCAGAAATTCCTAATGTGTTAAAATTTAACCATTTGTGAAATAAAACATTCTCCCACATCCCAAAAAGATGCATTTGATTATAAATAGTACTCTTGTATAGATATCTTTTTGTAAATTTCTAGTTCAATTCTTATAGTTCATATAACATCACTCAGGTGGCGTAACTTTGCGAACTTGTTTTCTGAAACCCAGTGTAAGCCAAACATATGGTCCTCATTTCTTGTAAAATAGTGGATTGCTTTTTCTAAAGTGCATAAATGATTGTGCAGAGGGCACGATCACACAAGTTCCTGGGTTAACCATGTGCTCTCTTTAATTTTTTTAAACACAACAAGTTGCAAATTGGAAGTCACAAACTAGCATTTCCATTTTTTAAAAACAAAAAAACAAAACGAGTTGGCAGAGACTTTTGAAGAAATAATATAGCACACTTTTTTTTAAATAAACCAATTTTTAGATTTCTCTGCTTTACAGTATTTCAAAAGAGCTATGTAAAATGCAAGTAAATTCCATCATGTATCAAACAGAAAAGATGATGTTGGGAGCAAATGGTCCTAAAATAAGTCTAGTACTCTCTTAAAAATGCCACTTCGGTACAAGTAGTAATTTTAGGTGTTCGTAAAAATTACATAGTTCAATCAGCAGAAATATCTATTGTCAGTTAAGATTTTCTTTATTCATAGGACCCTGTAGTGTATATGCTTCTTTTATTATTTATTTTATTTATGTATTTATTTATTTATTTATTGCTTAAAGAATATAACTTATGGAACTGGTGAAAACATATAGTTGTAAAGCAAATGGGGGAAAAAACAGGTTTCTTAGCTTAGGGCCTGCTCCTAATCTGATTTCAGTGGGAGCAGGATCAAGCCCTTCTCATTTGTTTACTTTTCTGTACAACTGATAGTGGAAACCTGACTCACTTCATAATTAGTCTTCAGTCAGAAGCCGATGCTTCCTAGATATAGTTAGACCATTAAATATATGGTTTCTAAATCCATTTGTATCTTTACTGAAGGCTAATGTTGGTTGGTAAGATTTCTCTGATCACCAGATATTTACCACAACAAGAAATTATATCAAAAGCGCCCAAGGAAAAGGAGAGGCTTACAAAACAATTTTTTTAAGTTAGATTTAAAATAAAAGCATGTTAAAAGTTAGTTTAATATTGGGCAGATTTCCAGGTTGTAGCGTCTGCTCTCTTTTCGGTTGACTGTTGGGAAAACAGAAAGCACTTAACAGACATTTATTTTTATTAATGTGATCGTGGTATTTCAAATAAGATTGGGTGCTCAGCCATTTTGTGTCTATGGAAAAACTAATTTGTTCATGTTGCATCTCTTTCAGTAATAGTTATGCAAGAGTGCGAGCTGTGGTGATGACCCGGGATGACTCAAGTGGTGGATGGTTACCACTTGGAGGGGGTGGACTAAGCTGCGTTACGGTCTTCAAAGTCATTCATCAAGAAGAGAACAGCTGTGCTGATTTTCTTATCCACGGAGAACGACTCAGGGATAAAACGGTAACAAATTACATTATGAATACAACATATTTATAACTTGATAGGACCTAAAAGTAACACCTACATGTTGTTGGTCTACACCTTTTCCGTGGGGCGGGCACCGGACGACTACCCGCCAAGGACCGTGGCCGCCGGACAAGCAGCCACCGTGAAGCTGCAACGGTCAAAAGGCGTCGCCACTGAAATGCCACTGTGAAGCAGCGTCATCAAGTGGCATCACCGCCGAAATGCTGCCGAATTTTGGCGGTAGTGCTTCTTGATGTTGCCACTTCCCGGCAGCATTTCATCAGCTGCTTTTCCAGCGGCCAGTAGGCGGGCGCACATGGATACCCCGACGGGCGCCATGGCCCCCGCGGGCACCGCGTAGGCGACCCCGGTCTACAGAATAATTAAACTTCTTAGCCATAGTTGTTTCCACTCTTTGTTGCGTGATTTTACACTGTCTAAATATTCATATGCCTATAAGAGCAAGTACCGTATTTTATTTTTTGACTCTTTAAATTTTCTTCCTGTGTCTCTAAAATTAAGTGTTGCCCTTTCAGAAGTTCAAAAATACACTTTTTGGCAAACAATTAGTTTTTCTCCCCTCTGTCTTTCTAAGAGAGCTTCAAACTAACCTCTCTTTTCTGTTTGTGCATTGGCAAAATCAGTGAAGTCAGCAAAGTGCAGAAAAGTACAAGCATGCAACATTCTTGAAGTTTGTTTAAAAAAAAGAAAAAAGGAAAAAAAAAAAAGTCCAGAAGGAATTCCATCTTGAACTATAAACATTTTATTCTGGGTCAAATTTTCCACCTAGAGTAAGGCAGTTTCTGTAGTTATTGCTTGAAAATAACCTGTCTGGACTCTGATAAAATAAATACTAGAAAACATTGCATTGCTTGAAAACCACACAGGGGAGTTACAGCGCAGTATAGTAGCAAACATTGCATTTCACACCCCTGCAGTTTGAACTGCAGGGCTATGAACTCTTTAAAAGAGTTTCATCTCTTACATGTATGAAGTGTGCAGTTTCCTTTTAGGATAAAAGATAGAATTGCTTTTTAGATCTGTGTTGCTAATTCTCACATGTGAATACCTGCTCCTCCATCAGTATTGATGAATTTTCTGCCTTTTATCTCAGCAGTTAGAAAGGAGATCCTATGATGCTGTCACCATCTCCATGGCAAGTGGTGGTTGGTTCCCAAACCCTGTTGAAAGCCTTGGACCCTCTTCCTCCTCCCATTGTCCAGCACTTGGCAGGCTCAGAAACTGAGGGTATTAGTGATCCCATGTTGTTTAGATTTTTCTCACAAACCTTTTTTCTAGCCCTAACCAGCCTCTCACCAGACCTCCATAAACTCTAAGATTCTAATAAGGTGCTAAATTCCATCACAGTAGCACTGTCTCTTTTTCCCCCTGCACAGTGCAACCTCTGACATGCTTAGGCTGTCAGCTAGATCACTCTCTGCAACACGCTCTTTTGATTGGGTAAAAGGGGGTGATGTGTGACCAGAAAGGGAAAAGCCATTAAAAGGAGTTTCTTGGTGAGCTTTGACTTCGGAAGAGCAGATAGATCACCCATGTCATCAGTGGAAGAGGGCAAACTTTCTCCATCATCCTTGGACTAGTTCAGCATAAAGGAAAAGGTACCAGTATTGAAGTTGACAAACTTGGTGAATTTTATTCACTCACTAGGAACAAATAAAGAGCCTTCAACCCATTGCCTCTCTCATCTAAAGAAACTCTTAAGAATGTGTAGGAAGATCTGAGCAGTTGTTCCAAATCTTAGATTCTCTGATAAAGATTGTGAAATCAATGATCCACTCAGAAGGGAAAATCCATTTTCAAAGTTAATCCAGCCATACTATATTCATGTGGACACGTCAGTTAAATTATCTTCAGACTGCAGGAATGACTACTCTTTTCCTTATCTCAATCAGTACTTCTCTCAACACAAAAAATTTCCATTGAAGTGACTGGAGCAGGGAGCATCCCCGAAGAGTTGTTTGCAGACCAGATAATGAAGAGCTTGCTAAAATGATCTTTGAATCCTTTTCTCCTGCTTTGCAAGCAGCCATAGCCTTCATAGTCTCTGTTTGAACAGTCCTTTCTATCCCCTGCTCCCAGTTTCATGAGCCAGAGAGGCTACCATTTGAGACAGCTTCTCCTCCAAAGTCCTGACATCTCAAAACTTGTTCCTCGCATAGGAGGTCTGAAACTTTTCTCTTCCTTTGCTGGTACTGTGACCAGCAGCTATGCTTTCTAAGATGGGGCAATTCCTCATGGAATCCCAAGACACATCCTCTCTGACCTTCTTTCTCATTATTCTGGTTCTAGAGCACAAAGAGGTCTTTTAGTTCCTGTTTGGGAATTTAGGGGGGAAGGATATAAAAAGAAAATATTCACCCAGTACTGCTTTGGATTTTGTTGTTGTTGTTGTTTTGTTTTTTCTGGAGTTTCATGTTGTATGATCACAGATTTTTAGACTAGATGGTATCATTATGATCATATAATTGAACTTCCTGCATAACACAGGTCATTTCCTGTAACATACCCAACATCATGTGGTTGGACCAAAGCATGTGTTTTAGAAAGCCATCTAATACTGAGTTCAGTACACCAAATTACAGAGAATTCACCACATCCCTTGGAAATCTGTTTCAGTGGTTAATTACTCCTGTATCCAAACTGAAAATAAAGTGCAAATGTATTATTTACTCAAACGTCAAACTACCTTTAGAACTTGTTAAGCCCATTGCAAAAGTAGCAAATGGGCAGACTTACTAAGCTGATGTGAGGTGAGGGGATTGGAAATTAAATTAGTTGGGTTTTTTTGTTGTTGTTTGGGGGGTTTTGGACCAAATTTTTTTGGTTCCTGCCTCATGTGATCTATTTGGTATCTAGTTCACTGAGAAGATAGTGAGGTTTTGCATTTGGCATGAGCACGCTCTGGTCCCATTATCTAGTTTTCTGGAATCTCATACACGTTCAGAACAGTGTCTGTGTGTGTCTGTGTGTGTGTGTGTGTCTCATCCCCAATTTTAATACTACTTTTTTTCTGTACCACTGACGTACACCTGTACTTAGATGTTACTTAAGTTCCAGGGAAGGTGCCTCTTTAAATGAATACCAGTAGAGTGAGGAAGATAACTAGAATGCAGGCAAGAAGTTTGTTTCCAGTGCAGTCTGAGCAAACAATGTGAGAAACTCTTGTAAAATACAGATACCAATACAGCTTGGAAAAGGAGTTGCTGTGTAGCTAATTATGGGGATAGATGTTTGGTAAGAGAGTAAAAGGAAGCTGTACATTTGTATTGTCTCTGACTTCAAAGGAAAGCTGCTGTAATCAAAAGCTAATGTAGTGACTCAACAGGAAAGATCTGATACCTCAGGTGATTTAGGATAACTGTTAGGATAAAAGAAATGACCCCATATCCAGCTAGTAGCTAGGGTAGGTGGGGAGATCCTCAGACAATGATATTTCATCAGACGGACTATAGCAAGCTGTAAGACAGCCTTTTAAGGCATGTCTACACTGCAATGTAAGCCCAGGGTTAGTGGGGCTTAAGTCAGCTGACCCTTGTTAGGTGACTCTGGGCTTGAGCATCTCAGTTGTATTTTAACCCTATGTTAAAACTTTTTTCTAATGCGTGCTTGAACCTAGTGCTCTGGTGTCCATGTTGCAATGCACAGACTCAAGTCAAAGTAATCATATCCCAGAGTCCCTAGTGCCCCTGGAAATGTGACCACTCTAGCCCTGGGACTGGGAAACTTGACTGCCCTCCCTACACATTACCAGGAAGCAGCTCGTTTAGCAAAAGTCTTGATCAGTTCACTCTCCTTTGCAAACCCATGAGGCTCTTTGATAGTGTTCTTGCAGATCAGTGATCAGAAGAGAATGAGTTAATGCTGACTTGAGCTGCTGCTCTTTGCAAAGGGGCGGTGGTGGTGGTGGTGGTGGCTTCTGTTTTCAATAGGTTGGATTTTAGATTGTTGGGATAGAAAGGACTAAGGAAGTATCCCCATAGAATTGTGGGATACTTCCAGCTGACTCCCAGTATCCAAGTCAGGCGGGGCTGCCTCAATACTGTAAAGCAACATGGCTCAGACCCTGGGTAGTGGCTTAAGTTGAGCTTGGACTCTCCAACCCTACAGGGTCCTGGGTTAGTGTAATTACAGTGTAGATGTGGGGGGGTAGGCTTCAGCCTGGGCTCGAGGACAGGCTTACTTGCAGTGTGGACATACCCTTAGAGTCAAGGAACAAATGGATGATGCTAAGAGCTGTTAGATTAACATCCTTCCTACACTAGTAAAATTTGTGTAGTTGCTAGTTTGAAGGATCTTATTGTAGATTCTGTGTTCAAGCATGTAAGTCTTGGCCCATTCTCTTCTCTTTTCTGCAAATGGACAAGTGTGTGGGGTTTTTTTTGTTTGTTTGTTTTTTAAATCTGAACAGAGTTGAGATTTGTGTTATCAAGTTGTTTGCTAGTGCTCTGGAAGGAAACAGAACTGTGTCCTTAAGGCAAGAAAGTTGGATACCACAACAGTTAAAGTCAAAGGAATGGAGAAAGTCTCCATCTTCCTCCACAATAGGGCCTGTAGAGACCACTGTGACACAAAGTGGAACAAGTGACATTGGGATTGTAGGATCCTTCACAAAATCTTTTTTTTAAATATAGATTAGAATATCCTTATCAACTTCTGATTTTGAGAAATAGTTACATGTAACTATAATTATGATAATGGCTGCATAGGACACAAGATGGCAGTTCTTATCACAAAGCAAATTAATTTTAAATTTCCAGAAGTATTGTTTTATACAGTTCAAAATGTACTTTATATGGTCACTGAATGATATTAGTGTCTCCAAGCAAGTTTCACTTTGTGTTCTTGCAGTTGAGGTCTTCAAACCTGAATCTCTTCAATATGATATTTAGTCTTTAATTTTAAAGTGGGCCTCTTAATTAAATTTTGATTTGTTTTTAAATAATCTTTGGATACAGCAAACAAATAAATAAATA